CCCAGCAGCGCTGTGTTCTGCTCCCACTGAGGCCAGGGGAGAGGGGCACCCCAGGGGGCACGCGCCCCTCCCTTCTCCCCAGAGGTGGGGGAGGTCAGTCTGTCTGAGCTGACAGGAGCCTCCTGGAGGAAGGAGTGCATTCCTCCCGGACCTCACAGCCCTGAGGGTGCGGGTCCCCCTGGCACAGACCTCACAGCCCTGAGGGTGCGGGTCCCCCTGGCACAGACCTCACAGCCCTGAGGGCGCGGGTCCCCCTGGCACAGACCTCACAGCCCTGAGGGTGCGGGTCCCCCTGGCCCAGACCTCACAGCTCTGAGGGTGCGGGTCCCCCTGCTCTGAGGGGTTGGGGTCCCCATGGCACAGACTGTACAGCTCTGGGGGTGCGGGTCCCCCTTCGCTAGTCAGCTGCTGCCGCTTTCCACTCACTGGGCGCCTCGCTGAGGAAGACGCGGGAAGGGGGAGGCGATGGGGGTTGCAGGTGTGGGAACCCCAAGCGCAGGCCGCTGGATGGGGAATGAGCCCGCAGGACTTCGCTGCCTTCACCATCCTCCTGGGGGAACTCGGGGCGCGCCGGTCGGTCACTGTCCTCCTGGGGGGAACTCGGGGCGCCAGTCGGATGCTCCGCGGAGGAGCATCTGTGGCTGAACCCCGCCCCGGGCTGAGCTGCGGACCTGACTCTCTCCGGGGGCCTGGGGGGCGGGGCGGGGGGAGCCTGACCCGGAAGCCCCTGGGGATTGAGGGTTTCCAGCCGCCCAGCCCCGGGAGGAGCCCCGGCTGACCGTCCGGAGGGCGGGACCGCGATCTGCGCTCTCCCCTCCGCCTGAGCCCCACAGGCCCTGGGGAGGTGGCGGGAGGCCCCAGAGCGCCAGGACAGGGGCGGGGGGGGGGGGTCCTAGCGAATGCAGGCGCCGGGCAGCAGGCTTCTCAGTTGCTCCAGGGCGGGCAGCGGTCGGTCCGGCCGGTTGGCCGGTCGATCGGTCTCCGGGCAGGGCCGGGGCGCCGCGCTCTGGTGACCGCGCAGAGTTTGGCATCACTGGGCCCAGGAAGGGGGGGGGGGGGGGGCGTTGGGGAAGGGGGGGCTGTCCACATGAAGGGGGGCTTCTAACACACACAGTGCGATTCCCTCTGACCCCGGACGGTGACCCCGCAGCGCGGAGGCCGCGGTCCCTGCTTCCCGGTGGGCAGGAGGCTCCGGGGACCCCGCAAGGAGGCCTGGCGGGGCCGCCCGCCTTGGCCGGTGAAGGGGTTCGGGAGGAGACCCCGGCGCGGGCCAGTGGGGACCCCGCGCCCCCAGGCTCCCGGGCCATCCGCTCCGGCAGGGGCAGCGGGCAGAAGGGGCCCTCTGGCCAGCTCCCCGGGCCGTTCCCGCCGGTTCCCTCAAAACTGCGGTTCTTACAACAGCGACCCGAGGCTGAAACCCGTGTGGCTCAGTGGATAGATCATCGGCCTGCGGACTGAAAGGTCCCGGGTTCGATTCTGGTCAAGGGCATGTACATTGGTTGCAGGCACATCCCCAGTGGGGGCGTGCAGGAGGCAGTTTCTCTCTCATCAATGTTTCTAACTCTCTAACCGTCTCTCTTCCTCTCTGTAAAAGAATCAAAATATATTAAAAAAAAAAAAAAAAAAAAGATTGATCCCAGGTCGCGAGCGAGGGCCGCTCCTGCCCCCTGGCGGCCATGCGTCCTCCTGCGGCCGCTCCGCCGGGCGCCTGCGGGTCCAGGGACCCGGCTCCGCTGGGCCTCCCTCCGCGGGGCCTCCCTCCGCTCTCAGTCCCAGGCAGAACCTGGGGAGTGCGGGCGGCCCCCCAACCGCGCCTCTGCGGGGGGGGGGGCTGAGGGCGGGGCCGGGGCGCGGGGAGGGCCCATCTCCCGGGAGGTGAAATTGGGGGCTCGGGGGACCGGTGGGGACGGGCTCCGGGTGAGCGCCCTGCCCGGAGGGGAGGGACCCCCAGGGGAGGGAGGGACCCTCGGTGGCCGGGACGCTGCCCGGGGCGGGTCTCCCGGCGGGGAGTCCCGCCCGCAGAGCCGGGGGTGGGGGTGCGCACGGGGCGGGGGGAGCCGGGCCGGTTCCGGGCGCCGCGGGCGGTGTGGGGTCGGGGACCAGGCCCGGGAGAGGCTCCGGCGGCTCCGGGACGGAGCGAGCCCGCGGCGCTGCGCCTCCTCTCCCGCCGCCAGCTCTCGGGGTCTTTTCCGGGGGGACCCCCTGTGCCCGCCGCTGAGCCCCGCGGAGCCGGCCCGGGAGCGGAGCCGCAGCCGGACACCGGTCACAGAGAACACGCCCAACACCCCCGCGTGGAGCCGGGGGCGCCGGTTGCGCTGGAGAGCCGGCCCCGCTCCCACCGCCGCCGCCCGGCCCTCCGGTCCTCCCACCCCGGCCCCGGGGTCCAGTCCCCCCACCCCCCACAGGCCCCGGCCCCGGCCCCGGGGTCCAGTCCCCCCCACCCCCCACCGGCCCCGGCCCTGGCCCGGGCCCCGGGGTCCAGTCCCGGCTCCGGGGCGGTGGAGGCGCGGGCGTGGCCGCGCGGAGGAGCCTGGAGCCTTGGGCGGCCGAGCGGCCACTGTCTCCCTGGCGCGGGGGGCGGCTCTCTCCAGCGGTCTCAGGCCGAGCGGCTCGGAGTCCTCCCGCCCCTGATAGCCTCCTCTCCCTCCGTCCTCCTCTTTCTCAGTCGTCCTCCTCCTCCTCCTCCTCCTCCTCCTCCTCCTCCTCCTCCTCCTCCTCCCTCTGCCTCCGCGGTCCCGGGCCGCAGCTGCCAGCAGCGCCCCTCACCCGGGTCTCAGGCCCGCGCGCACCAGTGCGTGTGCCTGTGCGTGTGTGTGTGCAAAGCCCAAGGCCGCAGTCTGCAGCGGGGCGGGGCCTCGGGGAGCGTGTGAGCCTGTGTGCGTGTGTGTTCGTGTGCATGTGTGTATGCTTGTCTCTGTGTATATATGTGTGTGAGTGTGTGTGTGTGTGCACGTGCCTCTGTGTGTATATGTGTGTGTGCGGGTGTGTATATGTGCTTGAGTGTGTGTGTGCGCGAGTCTCTGTGTGTATGTGTGTGAGTGTGTGTATATGTGCTTGAGTGTGTGTGCGTCTGTGTGTGCGCGCGCGCGTGTGTACGTGTGTATATGTGTGTGTGTATGTGTGTATATTTGTGTGAGAGTGTGTGTATATGAGTGTGTGAGAGCGTATGTGTGTGAGTGTGTGTGTGTGTGCAGGGATGCGGTGCGTGGGGAGCGGGGCGGCTGCGTACAGTAGCGGCGGCGGGGCGGGGCGGGGCGGGGCGGGGCGCCGGGGAGCCGCGCCCTGCGATCCGGAAAGGCCGGCGATTGGCCGCGGCCGCCCGTATGCAAACGAGCGGGGGACCGGCCGGGCGGCCGGGCTTACAGGAACCGCCGCACTCCAGCCTCATTCATAGCGGCCCGGACCGACCGCGGGCAGCACTTCCCCGGCTCCGGCACCCCTCCCCGGCTCCGGGCACCCGCTCCCGGCTCCGGGCGCCCCTCCCCGGCTCCGGGCGCCCCTCCCCGGCTCCGGGCACCCGCTCCCGGCTCCGGGCACCCATCCCCGCCCCCGGGCCCGCGAGAAGAAAGTCAGCTTCTCCGCCTGCTGCTCCTCGACCCGCGCCGGAGCTCCGATTATTATTTTCCTTCCTTTCGTTCTGACTCTTGAATGAACTGGCGCCTTGGCTGATGGTCCAACTCCTCCCGCGGCGGTGAACTCGGGCGGGGAACTCCCGTGCGCTCCTCCGGCCGCTGCGGGAGCGCGCTGTGCGGCCGGGAGGCGAGGCGGGCCGCGGAGCCGCCGTGCTCGGCAGGGCGCGTGGGAGCGAGTGCGTGGGGAGTGCCCCCCGCCCCGTCTGTGTGGATCTGCGCGGCGGGCCCCTCCCCGGAGGCCGCTCCACCTGCTGCGGTTACCGGCGGTGGTGGGGCCGGCGGACCCGGGCTCCCAGGCCGGCGCTGGGGGAAGCGGGAGGAGGACCCGCTGGCGGCCGCCCGCCCGCCGGGCTGACTCACCGCGCCCGCCCGGGAGACGGTGCCGGCTCCCTGCGTGTGGCTCAGCCGCTGCTCGGCTCCCCCAAACCGCGGGGGTCAGCCACAAACTCACCCACACCCCAAACCCCAGCTCTGAGAGCTGTCACCAACGTGGACTTTTTTAATTGTAAGATCAGCTTTTCTTGGAAAAGCTGACTCTTTGGGACTAAGCTTTCTGCCAGGACTTGCTGGGAGACCGTGACAAGTATTTCCACCCGGCGGCCCCTCTCCGACTACTGAGGCTGATGTCCACGGCTACTTTAAAAAAAACCGGCAGCGAACATTGATGGACCTCTGCTGTGTTTAAATCCTCTACGGATCGCCCTGTAAATATTTTATGAAGCAGGGCCTATGTACATATATATATTTATACGCGTGTGTGTATTTATATGCGCATACATTAGGAGCGCGACCTTCCACCCGGAGCTCCAGCTCCCGAGCCCATTTTGCACGATAGAAGCGGCGATGCTCTCGGAAGACGCCCCTGTGTTTTCTGTTTTGGTTCCGCCGGGACTTTAGACAAAACTCACCTGGGAGCGCGGACAGGGGGACCCTGGAACCTCCGAACCGCGGGTGCCGGCCCCGTTTTTCTCCGCGGACGCGTTTTAGGAGGCGTTTGGGGACTTTGCCTCCCGAAACTTTTGTGACAGCCACAGACTGAGCTTCAATCCTCAGAGCCGGACCCGGCCGAAGACAGCCCCCCTCGGTTTCGGGCTCTGGATTGGGGCGCCCACTTTTTATAAAGCGCTCACTCCGCGGCCGGATGCGGGGAGCCCTGCCCGGGGCCTAGACCTCCCCCTCCCTCCCTCCCGGCCGGTCAGGAGCCTAGCCCGCCCCCGCCGGCCCCCGCGGCGCCCCGGCCCGGCCTTGCATGTGGGTCTCCCCGGAGCCGCCGGCCGCCGCCCCGCGCCCCCGCCGCCGCCCCGGGCTCGGAGGAGCCGCGCGCAGGGCCCGCACTCACCCGGCCTGTTGTGATGCGTATCCCCGTAGATGCCAGCACGAGCCGCCGCTTCACGCCGCCGTCCACCGCGCTGAGCCCGGGCAAGATGAGCGAGGCGCCGCCGCTGGGCGCCCCGGACGCCGCCGGCCTGGCCGGCAAGCTGAAGAGCGGCGACCGCAGCATGGTGGAGGTGCTGGCCGACCACCCCGGCGAGCTGGTGCGCACCGACAGCCCCAACTTCCTCTGCTCCGTGCTGCCCACGCACTGGCGCTGCAACAAGACGCTGCCCATCGCCTTCAAGGTACGGCCGGGCGGGTGGTGGGTGGCGGGGCGCGGGCGGGCGGAGGCGGGCGGCAGAGGCCGAGGCCACCGGGAGGCCGGCAACCAGGCGGGTGGTCCGGCTCCCAGTCCATCCCCCGACACTGGAGCCCGGATGCCGCGTTGCAGGGGCGACCCTCCAAGGAACCCGCCTCTGGGGAGGGCTGCAAAAGTCAGGAAGCCCCCAAAGACATCCGCCGCAGGGCGGTGGGACCTCCCCAACTTTATACAAAGGTCTTTAGCTCTGACACAAAGTAGCAAAAGTTAGAACCCGACTTTGATACAAAGTAGCAAAAGTCAGCACCAGGCTTTGATACAAAGTAGCAACAGTCAGAACCCATCGCCTGGAGGAGGCTGGTTGCTCCCGCCACCGCCTGCTGAACACCTGGCTGAACCCCCAAACCCTCCTGCTGGTTTTCCACGAAGCAAGGAGGAATGGGAAGCTTTCAGACCTTCCGGTCCCCGCAGACACTCCGACAGGGAGACCTGTCAGGGCTCCCCACCCACCCTCTCTTTAACACCCCTTAGCAATTAGCATGTCCGAAGTCCACCGGCCCGTGAAGTTTGCGAAAGTTTTTGAAGTTTTTGCAAGCCTGCAGCCTGCTCCGGCAGCGGGAGCCTCAGGTAGCGAATCCTGTTTCTTTTCCTGGAACCGGCCCGAGCCTTATCGCGGGCTCACCTCGCCTAAGCCCAGCCCGGGGCAGCGGAGGCGCCTAATCAGCCCGCGCTCCTGCGTGCGGGCCGGTGGCTCCAGCTGAGCAACCCAGCCCAGACCCTGCCCTGGCTCCCAGCGGCTTTGAAAAGCCTTGGCCTCCGGTGGGGACGTGTAAACAGCCCCGGAGTTTTTAAACAACCCCTCGGCCGCCGGGGCAGCCGCCGCCAGAATTTAACTTGGGCCTTGGGGATCCTGTGCTTCTGTCCGGGTGGGTCTGTGCAGGGCCGGCTTTTTAGTCTAATCACTTCCTGGTCGTTTTAAGGGCGAAGGCAGGCAGGTGAAGGGGGGGGGGGGGGAGCTGCAAAAAGCAGCCACTCTTTTATAAAAAAATCTGATTAAATAATTGTCCCCTGTAAGGGGAGATCAATTTACCATAAGCTTTCCATGGTCCCAGGGCCCAGCGGGATCTTATCTGGTTACAAGGAAGAGTGCTCGCTCTTTTTCAAAGTGCTGTCGGGGTTCTTTCTTCTCAAGCTTTTTGCACCTTCCAGACTCGGTTATGGTTTCCTGCGGGCTGTGCCTCCTTCCTCTGCCTCCTGGAGGAGAGGGTTTCCCCGGGGCCTGGCCGGCTGGCCTCTCCCCCGGCCCTCCCGCTATGTAGGTTGCTCAGGAGCCCATTCCCTTGTTAGATGCCTAATCCCTTTCCACCCAGAGCCCCTCCCCGAAAGGACCCTGTCCCCCGTGAGGGGGACCTGACACCCTGGCCCTGGGTCCCCCTCAGAGGAGGGCAGAGGACTGAGCCAGGCCGGCCAGCAGCCCGGGCACTCACACCCAGCGCCCTCATGAGGGGTCCGTGGCCTCCTTTGGGGTCACTGCTGACTCGCCCTGCTCTGCCTGGACGCCCACACCCAGGATCGGATGATGAACAGAATCGGCGGGCCCTGGAGCCGTGGAGTTTCTCGGCAGATGTATTTATTTCCTTCCGAGTGAAGGGGAAATGTAGATAGCTTTCTGAGCCCTTGGGGGGAGTGTTTTTTTTGTGTGTCTGTGTGTGTGTTTGTTTGTTTGTTTAGTTAGCAGAAATCTTAATAAGCATAGAGGCTTCCTTTTGAAAATGACTTTTGACTGCTTTGCCATACTGGGTGAGGGTCGGTGGCCACTGAAAGATCAGGGTCGGAGCTCTGGGGAAAGCCCCCAAGTTCCCAGAGCCTTTGGGGGCGAGCACAGCAGGGTGGTCAGGCCCCGGGTGAATATCTGTCATCACGGCCGTCCGGGCAGCGTGGGGCCCCTTCCCGAGGGAAACCCCTCAGCCCGGACCTGCAGGAGCCGGAGCGGCTCAGGAGGGAGCAGGGCCGAGAGCAGGGGCACAAGCCGGCTCACCCCACACGCCAAGACTCTGGGTGCGGTCCCCGCTCCATTCCACACCGCCCACCCCCCACCGCCCACCGCCCACCGCCCACCGCCCAGGCCGCTGCCCCAGGAGCCGTTCCTGTACAGTGTGGGTGTGAATGAGCTCAGACAATCCCTCTAAGCAGTTAATCAGGAAGGATCACGGTGCTGTCTGTAATGAGGAGGAGAAATGGGAGCCGGTGAGCCAGTCCGGTGAGACTGAGGGAAGGAGCGGCGAAGGCATTCTTCCAGAGCCTTCCGAAGCCCTCGGCTTTAACCTCAGAAACCAAACGGAGATCAGAATGCTGAGTCTCCCTTAAAATAGGGGAGAATCACCCCAACTTCTTATGGGGACCCCCGCATGTGCTCACCTTCTCCCAGGGAGCCCCTCCCCAGCTTAGGGTCGGAGCGATGAGTTGCTGACCATTGAGGAACCCCGGCCTTGGCTAGGCAGTCACCCCATGCCCAGGCGCACCCACAGAGCCGCCTGGACGGCGTGAGCTGCTGTGTGCGAGGGCGACACTGCCATCTGCTCAGGCCCCGCCAGCTGCACCGAGTCCGAGGGCACCGCGCAGCCTTCCCGGGAGCAGAGGCCTGGGTGCTGAGGGAAGATTCTCTCCCCGAGAAGGAAACGGGTCCGCCTGCCTCCGGGGTGCGCCCGCCTTCCGGGCTTGGCAGCCGCTGTCACTGGGGCAGGACGGCCGGTTCCACTCCAGAGCCTTCCCCGCGGTGCCAGGACGCAGGGATCTGAGACCAATGGGCTGTGACGGCCACGCCAGCCTCGTTAGCACGGCCTCCGTGCCAGTTGGAGCGGGAGCAGGGGGCCGGGGCCGGGGCCGGGAACCCAGGGCAGCCCGGTGCGGAGGGTGGGTATTTTGCCCCACTTCCTGATCCTGCCGGAGCCAGGGGAGAAGGAGAGCAAAGCAGGAGACAGCTGCCCTCTGGCAGGCAAGCCCCTTCTTGCCTGTTTGGTCTGCGCTTCCTCCTCTGCTGGGGAGAGCTGCTCCTGCCCTCGCTTTGTTTTCCTGTGTCAAGGAGGATTTTTAAAAATAATATTCCCTCTACTAAATAATATTCCCTTTACTAAATAATATTCCCTCTACTAAATAATGTTCCCTTTACTAAATAATATTCCCTTTACTAAATAATGTTCCCTTTACTAAATAATATTCCCTGTACTAAATAATATTCCCTTTACTAAATAATGTTCCCTTTACTAAATAATATTCCCTTTACTAAATAATATTCCCTCTACTAAATAATATGCCCTCTACTAAATAATATTCCCTCTACTAAATAATATTCCCTTTACTAAATAATGTTCCCTTTACTAAATAATATTCCCTGTACTAAATAATATTCCCTTTACTAAATAATATTCCCTTTACTAAATAATGTTCCCTTTACTGTTGCTCATCGACGATGCAATCTTCCACATTAGCAGGCGTGTGAGTTTTAAATTTAACAAAAGCGTACCTCGTCCACGGGTGCTGGTTGATCCCTAGGTGCTGCACTTTATCTAAACGAAGATAATTTTCCTGGTTTTAATATTCTCTTCCTTCCCCTTGTGAAAAAACACACCCCTCCCAGGCCAATAAAAGGCCACGGGAGGGATCTGAAGGCCCAGCTGTCTTTGATTCCCGCTGCCTTTTTAAAACCAGAGGGACAGGAGTTAACTCCTCATTTTTATGCCTCCAATCCCAACCTCGACCATCTTTTCTCAGCAGTCGCCATGGCCCGGCGGCTCTGTGTGTGCTGCTCGGCCGGCCTCCTGAAGCCGCAGTGCCCGCCGAGGGCGGTGCGGCCGGGAGCGAGGCCAGGGGAGCACTGTGCGGGAGCACTATGCTGGGAGCGGGTGGAGGAAGGAGGCCTGCAGGAGGCTCTGGGAGGCAGAAAGCAGTTGATTCTTTTCCCCTCCTCACAGAGCCTGCCCCGAGCCTGGGTGGCCCTGCTGGAAGGCCATTGGGGGACCCCGCCCCCCGTGGGCTCACTGAATGTTGAATTAAAATCAGGAAGCCGGGCCCCCACGGGGAGAGGGAATGAGAAAGTAGAAACGCGTGTCCCAGGCGACACGTCCACGCTGGGAGCTGATGTTACACCGGGAACTGAGAACAGCGAGAATGGAAAAAACAAAACAAAGTGGAACAATGTTGACGAGACCGAAGTTTTTAAGAGCAGAACAAAGCAGGCACACGTTGTGGGCGTCAAAAACAGAGCAGCACGAACTAAATAACCGACCGACCGGGGGGAGATGGGTTTCAGCGATGTTTTTGGAAACAAAAGGGAATTGTCCTGTGGCTGCTCTTAATTAACCCGCAACAGACACACTTCTAATGGGAGCGGAATGCCTAATTAGAGGCGCCTGGGGATCAGGCTGTGTTTTCACACCTCCCGTGCAGACAGCATGTCCCCCAATTGGGTGGGAAGGATGGGAAAGAGAGATAAAGAGCCGGGCCTCCGGGCCTGTGCCAGGGGCTCAGCGGCGAGGACAGGGCCTCCCTCCCGCGTGAGGCTGCTGCCTGGCCGTACTCTCCCAGGAACCGGGAGCCGGGGCACCTGGGACCACGCGGGGGGGGGGGTGGAACACGACCGAGCAGGCCACGAAGGGGGTGTGGAGCAGCGTGGCTTTGCTGTGGGAAGAGCGAGCCACGGCCGCCTTCTCCACAGAGCGGAGAGGAGCTGAGCATGTAGTATCGGCCCCAGATGACACGGCGGTTCCCAGTGAAAATTGGGAGGCGGGGACTGGAGAAGAGGGAGCACTACAGAAGGCTTTACAGTCACATGAAGACAAACTGTGTCTGTAACTGGGATGGACACCACAGATCCTGCTAGAGAGGGGAGGGGGGGGGGGAGAGAGAGAGAACAAACACTATAGGGGAGACCCAAAATGACAAGAAAGAGGGAAATCCGGGCATGCGGGTGTGAAATTCTGTGGCCACAGGAATAACCAGCGGCAGGGGCAGCGGCAGTGCAGCTGACGGCCAATGTCCAGGCCAAGAAGCGTCCAACGATGACCGAGACCTGGACCCTCCTCCACGGGCCCCTTCCCGCTGCCCTCCGTGGGGCCTTTTACTTTGCAGTGACTGCTTTCTCATTACCTGAGTACCCAAACTAGGTACCTAGCAGCTTTCCTCAGTCGCTCCGATAGGAAACCCGTTTCTGGCCAATGGCGGGAAAGGGACTCCTCTCCGGGGTCTGCCTGTGGGAGGCGCTCAGGCACCTGTTCGCAAGGGGCGGACCCACCCCGGGACTCCCGGACGCCGCCCGTGACCGTCCCCTCCCAGGTCACAGGACTGCCTCTCCCTCTGGGGCTGCGGTTTGGAGTCAGTGATAGCAAAGGGCACGTTTCTGGGGTCCGCCTGGTGGAAACCAAGGGAGGAGACGTGAGCAGGGGTTTCAGAGGGCCTGCCGAGGGCAGTTCGGCCAGTCAGGAGTCCTCGGTGATCCAGCTGTGAGGGTCAGATGGAACGTTAGCGGGAATGAGATTGGCCCACGCAGGCCAGTCCTCAGAGGCCTGAGCAAATGGGAGGAGGACAGGTTAGGTGTAAACTCCCGGAAACAAGACGTGCTGGTTCTCAGACATGAAGCGTGGGGAGGGTTGAGTGTTCAGAGGAAGCCATGGCTTGGCCAGGGCCAGGCCGAGCGACGGGACCCCGCCCTTCCTTGGGATCCGGGGTTTTCTGTGAGGCGTGCGCACTGGGTCCCGAAGCAGGTCTTCCCATCACCCGCTTCTCTGTCGTTCTGCTTCGTGCAGGCTGGCTATCCGTGTGTACACGAGCACAGGCCACGTGACATACACACGTGTGTTGACAGTTGTCCCGTACGTGGCCTCACAGCTGACAGCACTCCTGACGTGTGCCTTTGCCCCGGCTGGCGTGTAGGTGGTGGCGCTGGGGGACGTCCCGGACGGCACGCTGGTCACGGTGATGGCGGGGAACGATGAGAACTACTCGGCCGAGCTGCGGAACGCCACGGCGGCCATGAAGAACCAGGTGGCCAGGTTCAACGACCTGCGGTTTGTCGGCCGCAGCGGACGAGGTAGGTCGCCGATCGCACATGACGGACGTAGCCGCCGACCCCGGTCCCAAAACCTCCGGACATGTCGGCGGCGGGGTCCCCGGAAACACAGGCTTCCTGGTTGTCATTGCTACATCGAGCCTTCAAGAACGTTGATGGAGAATTTATCGCTTTTAACGGAATCCGGTGTTACGTCGTTGCTCTCCGATGAGCAGCGGGGAGAACGCGGATGTTGGATTTCGAGGAAACCCCTCAGCTCTTGGTTAAAGTGTGAACATAAGACCAGGGTGATTCAGCGGGTTCTGTCCTGGGTAATGGTCAGAGGTCTCTGTAGCAGGAGCCCTCACCGTGGGACCCGGGTGTCCCCGTGGCAGGTGGCAGGGTCTCCGTGGCTGCCTCTGATCCTTGTAAGGGAGGCGGAGTGTGTGATGATTGAAACGCGGTTTCCAGGAAGCTTAGCTTTTGGTGGTAAAATGTGGAGACATGGTGGTTGGTAAGCGTGGCAGGGTATGGCCTTCCTATGACAGGGTGTGTGGATGCCGTGCTGTCCTTTGCAAGGCCAGGCCCAGCTCACATGTTGGGGACTGACCGTAGGAAAGACGGGGGAGCCAGGGGGACGGCGGGGCTGGGGCTGTTCTGCGTGTGATGTGACTGTCGCTGCCTGCTCTCAGAGCCATCTCTTCTGCTTTCAAATTGTTTTTCAAGTATTGTGTTTTCTCTATAACGTAAGAACCCACGTCACACTTATAAATAGCAATAAGTGCTGGGAGTTTAATTGAAAGAGGTGGGATAGTTTGTTTTGAAAACCTAATTTTTATAATAGAGAAAAATGGGGGAAATATCCTTGTGAGTATCGTAAAAAGACACGGTGAATACCCAAATAACAGTAGGTGTTTTTGTGTTTAAAAAAAACACAAAAGGAAGGAACACCGATGGACTTTTAAACAAGAGTCGTCGTCGCTCTTTGTGAAGGCATTCGAACATGGACGGAAATCTGCGTTCTGAGGGGTTTTGATTAGTTGGAGACGGGAAGATGGTGAAGGGAGGGAGGGGTGTTTGGCTATTTTTTTTTCTTTCCTATCCTAGCTGTCCAGAGCATTTTCAAAATAGAGTCACCGTGGGGGTGATTTGAAAAGCACACGCTGACTGAACACCTGTGCCGTGGCCCTCGCCGCGGTAATGACGCAGAGACAATGATGCCTCTTCTTGGCAGCGGGAGGGATGCTGTCAGGCACACAGCGTAGGCCATTAAGTGGGTTCGCTGGTCCCATTAAGGTCCCCGCCTGCTGTAAATGGGACCCGCGTTATGATTCAGGGGCGTGTGTTTCGAGAACAGCTCGCAGGCTTCGGGGGAGTAGCTGGCAGGGCAGGGATGAAGCCCATAAAAGCCGAGGCCCGCCCTCCGGTTCGAGCCGCCCGGCCTGGCCTGGGCCGGCCCGTCCCGTCCCCGTGGGTTTCCACGCCGTGGACCCCGTAGCTGAGCACACCCGCGGGCCGCCCTCCGGAGACGGATCCTCCGCGCAGGCCTGTGTGCCGGGCTCTGCCTATCCAAGTGGCGGAAACTGCTCCGTGGCCAAGGCCAGCGACATTTCCCCACAGGGAGCTCCGCCGTGGCTCCGTGGCCACGCACAGGCCGTGGACCAGGGGAGAGGACGGGGCCTGGAGCGCAGCCCGCTTCCTCTCCGGCGCTGGGGGCGGGTCCCCGTCCCGCCGGCCGTTTCTGGTTGGAGTGGGTGACTAATCGGTGCGGTGTTTACTCGGCAGCAGGGCTGTTTCCCCAAGGCGTGGACTGTTTGCACTGGCCGCCCGCTCCGTGCCAGCGCGCCCTTGACTGTGCATGGAGGCCCGAGTAACGCGGCGACCGCCGGGCCGGCCTCTGGTCCCGGGAAGGAGACCGCACTGAGGCTCCGCACGCGTCTGCCTCCGGAGCGATAGTCAGGACCCGGACCACAGCAGGCCTGACGGACCGTAACCCGTGCTGTTGGTCTTGAGCAATTTTTTTTTTTTTTTTTTTGGTCAGCGCTACCAGGCAAAATGGAGCTGTCAGAGGCCCTGTCTGTCCCAGACTCCTCTCCCTCGCCGTAAAACACAACTTGATTTCATTCTTTCAAGTGTGAGTTTTGGCTCGGCGTCTGCCAGGTTTTTTTTTTAATTTGCTTCCCATTACGAAGAGAGCAGACGATTCTCACTCGTTTGGACAATTAGCCTCCGTCTTCCACACGGAGCCGTGCCCTTTAAGAGTTTCATGACGTTTGGTTTCTGTAAGTGATCCCGAGATGATTTCTCTGTTTTTCCGAGTGTGCCCATAAACATGTCACCGGCAGCGACACGCCCTGCGGGGCCGGCGGCCTGGCTGCTGGCTCCTCCACACGTTTCCGCGCGGTTTCACCCTCCGTCCGGCCCGTCCGCGGCGGCTCCCGGGGCTTGGGGCTCAGCGCCCAGTGGGGGGGGAGGGGGACGGGGACCCCTTTTCCCGTCCCATCAGGGGCTGGCGGAGCCTCGGAGAAGCTGCCAGAGGCTGAATGGAGGGGTTTTTTCTTTGTCGTTATTCTGTTCTGCAAAACTGATCTGTCTGGGCGCTGGCAGAGGTCCAGGTTCGCAGCTCAAACCTCAAGTTCAACTGCAACCGGGAGAACCTGCCCGTCCGGCTCCCACGGCCGGCCTGGCTGACAACACTGCCCGCACGTCCAGGGCGAGGGCCTCGGCGCCCGACCTTCCTCCTTCCCGCCCGCTGCCCTGGCTCCCGTCAGCTGCCCGTCTTGTCCGGGTGTGCGCGGCCGTGGGGTGTGCTCGCTCTCCCGAAGCGTCCCCACGGTGTCCCCACGGAGGGGACGGTTCCCTCTGTGGCCAGGGTGGCAGCTCCGGGCGCTGAGAGGGGGTGCTGAGCACACAGGGTGCTGCTCAGAGCACTCCCCCGCTGTCCTGGGACCCCCCCCCCCCCGGTCCCCAACCATGGGCCTGGGGTCCTGAGGACTCTGGTGGCCACGCCCATTGGCGGTTCACAGCAGCTGAGGCAGGCGCTGGGGGTGTTTCAGGTGTGAGCGAGGGCAGCGGGCAGCCGGCGGTCAGCCGTGAGGCCTGGGATGCTCCGGCCCAGCCCGCCCCTCGCCCCTCACGCCGGGGACCGGCCTCGTTCATTCACTCAGAACCCAGCCAGGCCACCAGGCCACCAGGCTGTGCCATCAGCCGCGGGAGCCAGGGAAGAGGGCCCTGCAGCCTCCTGACTCTCCGGGCCTGTGGCTGCTGACCTGTGGGGACACCCCAGAGAATTGGGTACCCCCCCCCGGAATTCCCCCGGAGAGAAACACGGGCGTGGCCCCTGACACGGCGTCCCGTGCGCAGTCAGTTCCTGGGGCCCCCACGCTGATGGAGCTTCTGGGGACCCTGGGCCCCCTAAGCCGAGCACCTGTGGGTTCAGAACGTGCCCGTGGCCGTGGCCATGGAGGGCCAGCCCCAGATATCCGTGCTGCCTGTAGACAGCGGGATGTCCGCACAGCCGGCCTGGCGTGGTGGAGAGAGACCCGCTCGGCTGCTGCCCACGCTCAGCCTCCGAGTGCAGCCGTGGCCTCGCAGGGAAGGGCCATCGTGCCCGAGAGGGGGCCCCTCACACAGCTCTGGGCGGGCCCAGCGTCGCCTGTGGGTGCCCAGCAGCCCGGAGGCTGCGTGCCTGCACCCAGGGACGGGCTCGGGGGTGCCTGGGGGCGTTCGACCTCCCGGCCACCCCCTCTCCCCCTTCTCACTCAGTCCCCTCCCCACACCCTCACACCACATCCCTCCCGGTTCCTAACGGGGACTCTCCCCAGACACAACACGCCTGCCACTGTCGCCGGTGCCTGTGGGGGGATGTTTCTGACTCAGAGGCTGCCTCACATGTTAGGGGCCGTGAGGCAGAGGCTGTGAGGAGAGGAAGGGGTGCGCTCAGCACAGGGGTCAGGCAGACGGAGCCTCTCTCCTCGGGGCACTTGTGGCTGAGAAAGGGCTGGCATCCCCGAGGGCTGGCGGTGGTGTCGCTCTCTCCCGGGGACTCCCGCAGCGGGCAGCCAGATGGCGGTGAGGGTGGCACCGGAGATGGGGAGATGGGAGGGCCGTCAGCTCCCCCCGGAACCCAGGACCGGCCTGAGCCGTATTAAATCAGCTCCCTGCCCGCCCCCATTTTGGTTGTGGTTGGTGTGTCCTTTAAAGTGCTATGCAGACACCGACGCCTGTTTGGGGACGTCCGTGTGGGCAGAGGATGGAAAGACCTGGGGTCCCCGCACCGCAGGCGGCCGGCAGGGGAAGGCTGAGCTCCCAGACAGAGTGCATCACTCAGATTAGGTTTCTCCCTCTGTTTTTCGTTTCCCAGTAAAATAGTAACAACACTTTCTTAACCTCGGTTGGTCCCATCCCCACCCCCTCCAGGGGCGCCCCTGGCCCCGGAAGCCCTGGCAGAGGGGGGCGAGGGCAGCTGGCAACCTGCTGGTGCCTGGCTCCCGGCCGCAGGCTCCCCTCCCTTCCCGGTTCCCCGCTGACTTTACGGGGTTCGGGATCACAGAGGCCGTGGGACAGCTCCCTGACCCGGAGGTCATGTGGGCGAGCAGCGTCTGCGGGTCCGTGGGCAGAAGCCAGACTTCCCCCGCCCGCCCACTGCCCTCCCTTGCCCCGGGCTCAGTGGCGGGAAGGAGGGAGACTCGGTCGGAGCCGGGAGGGGAGGAGGCGAGTGAGTTCAGCGCTTCCTGTGTCAGCCGGGCGGGCGAGCATCACAGACATAAACAGCGGCCCGGCCAGCGCCCGGCGGCTCCCATAAATCAGCCCGCCCCTCGGTGCCGCCTGGCGCGGGCCGGCCGGGCGGGGGAGGCCGCCCCGGGAAGAACGCATCCTGTGTTAAGGCCTTCTTTTACGTATTTAAAGAAAAATGGCTTGTTGAGGAGAGAGATGTGTCCTGTCTGGGGCTGTGTTTCCGGCCGATGGGGTGTCTGCGGGGCGGGGAGGGGCGCCTGCCCTGAGGGGGTGTCTGCGGGGCGGGGAGGGCACTGCCAGGGGAG